CCATATGAACTTTTGTGTTTATTTCATCTTAGCAGCAGAATTTTTCAAAATGTCTTAAAAAGACCTTTTAAAAAATAATAATCTAGCTTATCATCATCATTTTACCGTCAATTGCTTGATAGAGAGCTGAATACTTAAAGATTAAACTATCCCCTCTTAGTTTGTCCTGGTTTAACTATATATAAAATATTTAAGATTTTGTATTTTTCTTTCTGGTCCCTCAAAATTGAAATATTTATATATACACAGAGTTATCATTATTTAAAATATTGGGTTCGGATAGATTTTAGAACAAATACGAAGTTGAGAGACTAACTCCAAAAAAAAATTTATACCTTACTCACTGCTGAGATATGCTTGAGTTGACAGGATGTATATTAATCATGTAAATTGGACGAACTCATTTTTTTCCTTATATATTATATATTGCCTAAATATAATTAGGTTCTAGAAAGTCTCTTTTCTCCTCGCCTTAATTAATCTAAAATAAACTTTTTTTCTTCTTCTAACTGAGCATAATTCAAGATTAAGATACCAATAAGTTTTATTTGAAAGATAGAAAGAATAATTACAATGTTATACCCAACTTGAGCATAACTCTTGACGGGTCAAGGTACCTACGTCTGACTAAAAAAATTTAAGTTTAAATCTCAATGTATTAAAAAAATAATAAAATAATTACAATGTCATACAAAAAAATAAAAAATTATAATCTCTAGCAATAATTTAAGTATTTAAAACCCAATACCCCACCACAATCGCCCATGGTTTCATCCTACCTCATGCCACTTATTTGTTAAACAAATAATCTTACCTTTTCAAAAAAAAATAATAATAAATTAACAGCAAAATAATAACAATGAGACAAAATGAAGAACAAACCAAATAAACTTTTAAAACTTCAAACATCAAAACAAAATAAACTTAAAATTTTAATAGCCAAAATGAAATTTATTTAATTATTGTTATGGGAGAGAAGATTCAAATTTAAGTTCTTTTTTTTTTAATCAATGAGACAAGTCAAAACATGGCCAATAACCATTTTTCCATGCGTAAAATAAAGTTTTCTTAATTACAATAGATCTCATTTTTAAATATTTTGAAAATAAATGGAATAGTGAGGTAAAGATAACACAAAAAAATTAAAAATTAAAAATTAAATTAAAATTAAATACGTATATATGGTATGACAAATTCACCAATATATAATTTAACACATGTGATTCTTTTTTCTTTTTGCTTCTTTTTTTGACTATTAATATCTTTTTTTCGTGTACGGAAGGTTGATGAATTTTCAAACAACATCATTCATCAATTTCATTGGAGAAAATTTGTAATATTTATGAAAAAGAAATTAATAGTGGGATGGTGTGTATTATCATCCTCAATAAATTGCAAACAATAAATAGACTCTTCCAAAAAGTTTAGATCACCCATTTCTAAATTCAATCTCCACCAAATATATGTCTATCCAAAACACAAGTTGATCTAATCCCGCATAAAACTCGAGACTATCCCAACAAACCACACGTTCATAAAGCTGCTTAAGATGGGAAAGTTTAGATTTGTGTGTCATATGTGTTACCGATTATAGGTTGTAAAAATCCAATTTAAATGTCRCGGGGTATGCTATACCAATATGAGCATCGTTCAGTAGTAAAATAACATTTACTCATTTCCCACCTTTGTTGTACTGAAAAAATTATTTCATTTATTTTAAAAGAACATAACTAGAGTCAGCCTGAAGATAATTTAATAAGTGAAGGTATATATCTCTAATTAAAAGATTTTGGGTTCGAATCTCTACCGATCTACATGTTGACTCTAGTGATTAAAACATATATTCTCGATCGATAGAGTGGGGCACGGGGATGGAGGCAAACAAACATAATGGTCAAAACCCACGTGCATAGATCAAAAAGAAAACAAACAAACAAAATAAAAGTAAATAAGCACGTTTAATGTATTGTGGGAAGAAAAGAAAAGAAAAAAAGAGAAAGACCCATCAATTCAGATGAACAGTAGATTGAATTTAATTTAATTTAATTTCCACTCTCCACTTGCCAAAGTTGTCGTTTTTCTTTTTTTTTGCTTTTTTTCTCACAGGCCTAACTTTCCACTTGAAATTATATTTCTCTATTGTTTTGTTTATTTGTGTCATTTGTGCCTTGTCAAAAGAAAAAAAAAAGTTGTGCAAATTTCTTCTAGTTTGCTTAATTAGATTAGATTAAAGTTGTTTTTAAATCAATAGATCGAAAAGTTTTTTTTGTTTAATTTAACAACATGCACAGGTAAGTAAATATTCAAACTTTCGACTTGATGGTATATATTTTAGTTAGCTAGTTATGTTCAAGTTGACTAACAGATTAAGAAGTTGAAGTATTTATTAAGAGGTTGAAGAGTAGATATTCTGTATGAGAAAAATTTTAATTTAAACTAAACAAATTAAGCTTATAAATACTCATTTCATTCTACGTGATTCTTTTCTTTATTAAGTAATTTTTTAAAATGTTTTTGACATTTAAGCCAAATTTTGAATACTAAAGGTGTGTTAAGTTGGTAATTTGAAAATAAGACATTCAATGAAAAATATAGTTGCATTTCATGTTTTTAGTGTTCTTAGATATACGTGTGATACCATGTTTGGAGATTGAGTCTCAATTTAGATAGCTGTTTAAGGAGTTTGGTAATATATTTGTAAACTAGTTACCAATTAAATATTTGTTTAATCTAAAATAATATTAATTATTTTATTAACATATATGTTATAAATTTTGTAGAATTATTATTTTACAATATTATATAATTTGTAATATATTATATTTTACCTGTTCTAATTTTAACAAAATGAAATAAGTTTAAAACATGAAATAGTATATTTATCAAAGTTTTTATTGTATCATTTGAATTAGAAAATCTGAAAACAGTTTTCAAAAACAAATATGCAAATAGATATTCACTTAATCCACCAATTTGATTCAGTAAATCTGAAAATAATAAACATAATCTGAAACCTAAATTGCATATAATCAGGTTTAAGTTTATCTATATATAAAATGTACTTAAGATCGCGCCAAATAATTATGAGGAAGCAAAAATAATTTTAAAAAATAAAAAACTTTAAAGTTATCAAACAAGTATGTAATGTTTAGTTTTAATGAAAGCTTAATAGGAATATCAAAAGAATAGGAAAACTGAATTTTCAACATTAATTATGAATAAATTCATATGGAAATATCAGTTCAACTGATTAAGGTACTTTATCTCTAACTAAAAAATGGTAAGTCTGAATCCCAACGACCACATGTATTAAAAACAAAAAATGGAATGATAATCAAATGGGACCTGTTCGTTTTCTAATTCATCCCACATTTGAATTTCATTTGAGAGTAGTCCAAAATAAAAATTCAATATTATGGTACAAGCCATTACCAAATTATAATGTCATTTCAAAAAGAAAAAAAAAAGACATTAGTTGAGAAGACTGATCCTTGTGAGTGGAAGAGACGGTGTCTCAAATCTAGGAGAGAGACTCCATTATTGTGAAGCATCCATGTGTGTTTGGTGCTGAAATTGATGAACCAATTGGGAATTTGTGGGTGACCCACAAAACAAAGGCCAATGGCCTACAAAGCAAAACCATGTTTCCTCATCAAATTCAAGGCCTTTTGTTGTCCACTTAAAACAATACAATAAGTTGGTGCTTAGTCATGTGCAACTCCATGATTGAGAATGAGAGGGAGAACTATTCAAACACATAAATTATTGCTTCAATCAACTTCACTTTTAACTACTTTTCATCGCCACCTTTGCGCTTCTATTTGGTCTTTTATCTTCTATTTGATCGTTTTTTTCACTGAGATTACGTGATGTGACAGAACGTGATAGATTAATRAGCAGACAACATGCCATGTCGGTATTATTTTGTTGATTGGTTTTAAATTTCCCCCTTACACCAACATAATTAAGCATATGAGAACAAATTTCTCGATCCTAACTTGTGTGTGGTTGATTCGAATTATTGAGGCATACCCAATTATATATTTGGGTTTTCGTTGAGGAAGCCCCATTATACATTAGGCATGTCTACATGCTTATATTTGAATTACCCAATTTGATTCTTAGGTTGTGTATAAAAAAGACTCAAAATTAGATTGATATAAAAACGAGTTTAATAGGCATAAGAAATTGTTTGTACATGTATAATAAGAACTACTTTAGTAGTAGTTATTGAAGGAAGATGTTAAGATTTTGATGCAACTCGACACGATCGCATGGAATATTATGTCCTATGCGACTTTCTTTACTTCTTCGATGTTGTTCGCATGTTAGAGAGACACTAATCTAGCTATTCATTTGACTTGCAAGATTGGCCATAATTAGGTTTGGCCAATATTTTAGCCTAGTGATTAATGAACTTTTCACCCTTTGTTTCAAAAACACTACATCACTACAAAATTCAACTTGAAGACAATTTAAATGATCTCTTTTTCTACACATCTGAATGAATTCAATACTAAACTAACTAGTTAGGGCCTGGGTGAGAATTAAATGCTATACTTATAATACTAAGTTTGGAGTTAATGGATGTAGGCCAATCCCATATCAAACTTGTTAGGTAAAGGAAAGTGCAGTTCCAAGGAAGAGGTAGAAGGAGAAATGTGAGATCCTTAGGCCATTCAAGAGGMAGAAGAACTAGAAAATTTCGTAAGCAATCTCACAGTCCATGTCCAAGGTTGTGGAGCGAATATGAGGACCAGAGTTTGTGTCCYATTCTCGACAACTAACTCGAACACGGAGATCAAGCATGTAAGAATTTAAGATAAGCAATGCGATCAGAGTCGGAGCGAATATTATCGCTCTTGTATGGAAGCATGCGCGATTAGCATCTATCTAAGCACAGCTAGAGATTCTGTAATCAAGTCAAAGCTCAGGAGATCAGACAGAAGGGTTCAATCAACACATGCTCACTTTTCAGCTAAATAGGAAAGAGTAACTTCATAATAATGATGCCCCAAAGCCCCCCACAAGTAAAGCCTTAGCATGAAGGATCATTTTCATATCATTATAAGGAAGACGAGATCAATCCTTAGACACTGAGCTATACGACGAACATGTATGAATAAAAGGCGAAAAGAAAACTAGCTTCAACTCATGCTTAATTATCCGTTAGAGTTTCCTATAACCCCCCAAAAGTAAAAAATCCCTAACATGTACCTTCCTTCACTTCTTTTGGTCTTTACCACAAGAGTTTGCCCAACACATAAAGGTTAACTCCCACAAAACGCTTTACATTACGGTGTTCTGGCATGCTACATGCTACGGTCTTCCGCGCTTTGTGCTGCAAGAGGGGCATTTGTACTGCTTGATGTTTTCTGCCTTGGCAGGTGTTATCCTCACACATTTTCCGTGGAACCACCTCTCACAGATGTCACATCCAATCCAAAACTCATCTGCGTTGTAGTTCCCTCCACAGCTCCCACAGAGAGTATCACCGTGCTCATCCTCGTCCTCTCCATAACTCTCATCAAGTAACTTCAGATTGCTGCTTCGGATTGATCCATCGATTGACCTCTGTAAAGATAAAATTGGTTGCTATCCTAAAGTTCTCGGTCAAGGGGAAAAAAGGAACAAAAATTGCAAAGTCGTCTCCAATGAAGAGGATAGAAGTCAGAAAAGCTAGACCACTTCACCTTTGTGCTGTTTCTGGATTTACTTCCACTATCCATGCTGGGTTTGTCTTTAACAGCTTTCCTTCCAGACGCAACTTCAAATAGAGTGGGTAGATCATTTATCAGGCTAAATAGTCGCTTCCTGTAGAAAGACGAGAGTACAAGTTAAGAACTATTAGATTAAAGCAATTGTTCCTAGTCACATGGATGGCAAGAAAGTAACAATAAAGTTCAAGTTCTCTTGCGCTAAAACATCATTTAGACCTATGGTAATGCCTGAAATGATAGAAGAGGCTCTACACTAATTTATAGACAAATCAGGTTATTTTTATTTGTTAATTCAATAAAATAACACTTTACCGACAAATATAAAGAGTACCAAAGATTAGAATTATTTTGTTAAATTTTGAATGAAATGGGTACAGTCGCAGCAATGAGGGAGAGCACAATGTTCCGCAGAATGAGTTCAAATACTGCTGCCAACTCCTACTATAATATAGAATTGCCAAAAAGGGCAAAAAAAAACCATGCACTTAAATGAGCTTGAGCTAAAAGAAAAAATGAACCTTCCCTCGTACCCACGAGTGGGTTTGAAAATTGGAACTGATAGAACCGTTGCATCAAATACCAAATTCTATTACAGAAAGAAAAATCAAAAACCGTCAAATGCAGAGATCTAGTCTCCCAAAACACTCAACTCTTCCCTTACCTTCCCTCAGTCCTCTATTTCCCCTATTCAACTCCCAACGGAATTACAGAACGGATGAACCATGCCTCACGAAACTCCTACTTATATCACTTAGTAAACAGCCCACCTGCGTCCACACCTATTTCCCCCTTCCTTATTTACATAACTAATCTCATCATATCGTATCCTATAGATTCACGCCTATTATTAGTAATATAGGTGAAAAGGATTGGAGATTCACCTTCCCTGATAGAAACAATGTGCTATTTACCTCAGGTGAGAGCATTAATTCTACATCTTGTCTAAACCGTTGATGAAGCATAAATGTAGTTCTAGGCAAAGTAGTACAACGCTATTTACTTAGAAAGGACTTGGAACAAAATATTTATCTGGCTTCATAAGGAAAATCTTTTGAAACGTAAATGTTTACATACTAAAAACATAATATTGTCCTCTCATCTTGGATTTTTATGTAATTCATTCAGCAAGAGAGGTACCTTCCCCTTTATATATTTCAGTATTCAATGAAATGTTTCATATTCATTCATCCATACAGACATATGCATGGAATTACATATAGCAAAACCATTTAGGGGCCAACGTCCATAGGAAAGAAATTATACAAGAAATGCAAATCAAAACTCAAAAAGAAGTTGATAAATTCTACTTAGAAGATTAATAAGAGAATGCAAACCACGGACATCACAAAAAATGAATTCTCCAACAAACAAAAGTTTTCTGTTGACTTACAGCTTTTCACCCCTTACTTTTAACAGAAGCTCAATACAACCACTCAGAAAATAAAGGATAATTAAACTTAATCAGGATAATAAAAACAACAACACATGATGGAAATACAAAATTATAAAAAGGGCTCTGGTCGAATGCTATACTTAATATCCAAAACCACTAAACGAAAGATGCTCCTAAAGTTAACCGTAATTAAGACTTTCAGAATAGCAGTTGTCCACCAAAGAAAAAAATAATAATTTAAATAAATACAAACTTCAGGAGAGGCTTCCTTGCATAATATGTTGGCGAAGGAAATACCATTACTAGCCCAGGAATTGGCAGGCAACTAGTAGAAAGTCAACATAGAGCAAATTTTAAGTTTTTTGAAGCTTTGACAAAAGGTAAAGTGGATAAGACATTGATGGACATTTAGAAAATTTTATATTAAACACAAGTATTATAGAACATCAAAATACTGTTTCCTTTTTTTGTTTGGAAGGAAACAAATATTTCATTGGTAGTATGAAATATACAAAAGGCCACATGGGCAATTACAAGAAAGTCTTCCAACTTGTAATAAGATTGTTTAGAGAGTAGCTATTAAAAGGTGGGTAGAAACATTTACACCATCCAAGAGCTAAGAGAGTAACTCTGTCAAAAAAGATCTCAAAGGGAAGAACTTTGTCATTAAAGATCCTATGGTTCCTCTCCAACCAAAGACTCCAAAAGAATGCCCTTATAAATTGAACCCACAGTGTAGCATTTTTCCTTTTTAAAAGGGAGTCCAAACAGTAGGCAGTCAAGGAAAATGACAGGGTGAATGTGCAGAGCAGTTTTAGCAGTGAGGATAATGTCCCAAAAACGAGCAGCAAAAAAAAAAGTAATGAAAAGATGGCCCTTGTCTTCGGATGCCTCTAAACAGAGATGGCAACAATTTGGGGAGAGAACAATGTGGGGAAGTTTCCTTCGAATCCTGTCGTGTGTGTTTATCGCGCGAGCTCCCACCAAAAAACTTCACTTTCTTTGGACAGAAACCTTTCCAGATGCTATGGAACAGTGTGGGGGTGGGTTGGGAGGGAGTGGTAGATAGCACTCTGTACATAGATCTGGTGGTTTCCAAAGGCCATGTCCGTTGGTCATTAAGGGAGGTGGGTGTGGTTGAGTCTAGTATATGGGAGAGTGCCAACCAATCAGAGAGCTCATCATCTTTTAGTGGTCTGCGGAAGTTGTAATCCCAGGAGGCTGTGGAGTGTTACCAAAGCTCGGAAATAGTGGCTTCTTTGTTGGTCGAAATAGCATAGAGATTGGGATAGGCCTGTCCAGAGTCCCTTGTGAGAGCCATGTATCATTCCAGAAACTGAGAGCGCTTCTTTCACCCACTTTGCAAATGGCATATGTCCTGACAATGCTAATTTGCTTAGAAATTCCATTCCATGGCCCCTTAAAATAATTTCTGCGATTGGATGGCCAAGTAACCGAGGGTGAGCCATTGTATTTGGCCGCAATGAGTCTCCTCCATAGGTGGTTTGGCTTCGAAATGAATCTCCAAATCCATTTAGATAATAAAGCTCGGTTCCTTTGGTTGATGTTACCAACGCCAAGGCCTCCTTCGTGTAGCGGTAGTTGGGTGCGGGTCCAGTTGATAAGATGGGGCTTGCCATTTGGGTTTGATCCCTCCCACGGGAAATCTCTGAAGATTTTACTAAGACGATCCGCAGCCTTTCCAGGTAGCTTGAAACCCAGACCTACTTAAAAGTTTATGCTTAAGTTTGTTGGATAGAGAAATATAGTGGGCAGTTTTTAATAGTATGCTGGAAGTCATTCATGCTTCTCCTTTTTAAAAAAAAAATAAAAAATTTCATTGATGTATGAAATTGCAAAAGTGGCCATAAGAGAGATTACAAACGTAGCCCATAAGAGGGRTTACAAGAAGCTTTTCCAACTGTATAATAGAGTTAGAAACACTATAGTTGTGAAAGAGAGTCTTCATCTCTAAAGGGGAGAGACTCACCATCCTCCAATCAGTCCTCACAAGCTTACCAATCTACTACCTCTCCCTCTTCAAAATTTCTAGAAAAGCCACTCAGCAAATAAGCAAAATTTTTAGAG